GTTCTCTTTCATAATTTCATGAAGAAGAGCTTCTGTGTTTTGTGAAGCAACTTCATCACCTTCAGGGATTCCTATAAGGCGAATATTAGTTTTCTTCAAATTATCTGAGAGCCCTCTGAGATTACGATCCATTTTTACTCTCCATTTCTTTTGATCTTTGAGCTCCTGGGCTTGTTTGAAAGCTTTGTCTTCAAAGTCAGATATCCTTTCTTCTGCCTGTTCCACTCTGTTTTGGATGGATTCCACTGTATTGTTCAGATCCTTGAAGGCTGCAACCTCTTGTCTCAGTGTTTTAAAATCTTTGATCATTTTATCTTTGAAATCATGAGTTCTTGATACATCTTTTGAATAATTTCTTGAGATATCTTTTGAATCATTTCTTGCAAAATCTTTTGAATAATTTCTTGAACTTCTGATTCCATCCTTTCTTCCATTCTGTTAATTTTGTTTGCTATCCACATTCTGAACTCGATTTCTGACGTCTCAGCCATCTGTTTATGGATGAGATCTTCAATTGCATCTGCCCCATTTTTGCCTTGGAGGAGTTGATCTACTCTGGTTATTCAAGTTGCCAGAGTTTTTCTGCTAATTCTGCCCCATGCTGAATTTACCCTGTTTGGAGGCCTTATCAGAACTGTTCAGTCAGTGGCTTCTGGTTGCCCAGAAAGACAGGGCATGTCTGTCATCTTCTCCCAGTTCTCATGAGCTGGGGCGACCAGGATGCAAGGGAAGGGCAGCAGCTGTGCGGGAGCATGTATAGCTGGATCAGACCTCGTTTGGCCTGCCTGGGTGTCCAGGGGGCAGGAGACCGGCAACACCGGATCAGTCCCAGTTTGGCTCCACCAGGGTGACCGGGGGGCAGGGAAACTGCAGCAGTGGTGCAGGGTGCTTGCACAGCCAGATCAGTCCTAATTTGGCCCCACTGGGGTTACCAAGGGGCAGGTGAACGACAGTGGCTCGCGGAGCACAAGAACTGCCTAATCAGTCCTACTTCAGCCCTGCCCGGGCAATGTCGGGGCAGAGCAGGGGAACTGCGGCGGCCGGATCAATCCTCGTTTGACCTGCCGTTGTAGCCACAGGGGAAGGAGAACAGCAGTGGCCAGATCAGTCCTAGTTCGGCCCCACCAGGGCCACCAGGGGGCAGAGGAACGGCAACAGCTGGATCAGTTTTTGTTTGCCCCCCCCCCGCAACTGGGGGGAAGGGGAATGGCAGTGGCCAGAATAGTCCTTGATCAGCCCTGCTGGGGCAACTGGGGGGCAGGGGAATAGCAGCTGCTGTGCGGGGAATGCGCCCAGCTGGGTCAGTCTTAGTTTGGCCCCGCTGGGGGAACCCGGGGACAGGGGACTGCTGAGGGTAGATCAGTCCTAGTTCAGTCCTGCAGGAGCAACCCGGGGGCGGGGGAACAGCAGTGGTGGTGCAGGGCATGCACATGACCAGATCAGTCCTAGTTCGCCATGCTGGGGCAACTGTGGGTCAAGGGAACAGCAGCAGGTGGATCAGTCCTAGTTCACCCCTGCTGGGGCAACCATGGGGGCAGGGGAATGGGGAGCAGAGGACTCCTCCACCGAGCATGTGGCACTAGCTAGCCCATCTGGTCCCTCCTAGCATGGGAGCCCAGAGCGGGGAACTCATCTGCCACTGCCCCGGGACACAAGTGGCTCTAGCAAACCATTCTGGGCCCACCCAGAGCAGGAGCCTGGAGCATAGAGCGAGGATCTCCTCTGCCACCCATGAGGCATGCATGGCCCTAGCAAGTAGTTCTGTGCCTGCCCGGAGCTGGGGGCTTCTCTGTAGCCCTCCACTGCCCACGGGAGGTGTGCAGATCTAGGAAGAAGTTCTGGGGCCTGCTTTTACCTGTTTTTGTGTTCTTAAATGCTCTTCCTTGGATTTACAGCTTGCTGGTCCTGACCAGATTGGGGACTCCTCTGCTGGCCTCCCGTGGGGGGCGTGGCTCTAGCAAGCAGTTTTGGGCCTGCTCAGAATGGAGGACTCCTCCGCAGCTGCCCAGGGGACATGTGAGGCTCTAGCAAACAGTTCTGGGCCCACCCGGAGCAGGGATTACTCTGTCGCTGCCTGCGGGGCATGTGTGGCTCTAGCAAGCAGTTCTAGGCCCACCCGGAATGGAGGGCTCCTCTGCAGCTGCCTGTGGCAGCAAGCAGTTATGGGCCGGCCAGGAGCAGTGGGCTCCTCTGGCTCCAACTGCGGTGTGCTTGGCTCTAGGAGTGGAGGACTCCTCCACTGCCAGTGGTGAGTTTTGTACCTTTGATTATATTTTTGGGGTCACAGCTCACCTCAGCAAAGTTGTGGGTTCTTCAATCTTCTCTCTTGGCTCAGCTTGAAACCATCATCTTACTTGCCAGACTTCTGTCCTTTAAGTCTCCTTTTGGATGGGAGCCTCTGTGGGAAGCTGGCTGCAGTCTGCCATCTTGGCTCCACCTCCGGAAGTATTTTTCCATGTAACTGGATTAAATGGACCCTGCCTGACCTATTATAATTGAAGTTCTGGTGCCCAGAATGGAAATAATCTGATATGCACCACCTCTCAAGGAATGTCTATCTTAAATAGGCTTATTAGTAATTCTTCAGACATAATAGACAGTATCTACCAAATGACAATGTCTATTAAAATGCTAAAACAAATTATGTAAAAATGCAAAATGCAATAATCCTAATTACCAACATATTGATTAAAGTGTAGGGAAAAATGGCAAATGGTCCATTATATCAATTTGATACAAAAGATGAGTATAAAAATTAGGAATATGTACATGCTTCTCAGAAATAATTGCAGAGATGAGTAGATTGCCTGCAGTAATGGATAATAGAAGTTATATTATTATAATTACTTATTAAAGGGCAAGGGAACTCCTAAAGACTGGATAACTTGAAACTACTCAGATTTTATACCTTATAATTTTACTTGTTTTAAAAATACAAATAAAGGGGAAGTGAGACAAGGGAACATATTAGTTATGATTTATTTGGTTTTAAGTGGTAACATCCAACTCAAATTAGTTTTTCATAAAATGGTAATGTGAGTCATTAATGAAATGTACAGTGGAAAATCTGTCTTTAGCCATAGTTGGATTCGGAAGTTAAAGTGACCTCACTAGGCATGCTGTCTCAGCTCTCTTTCATTCTTGTACTTTCTCTACATGTTAGCAAAGATGCTCATTGGAGCTCTGAGTCCACATTTTGTCAATTTGGAGATGATTTAAGGAAGAGAGTCTCTTTTTGGCACTAAGACAGCATTGCTGGGATTGAGTCTGATTAGCCTGGCTCAGATCATTTGCTACATTATACCAATCTCTATGACTACAGGAATAGACACCTTTTCTTTTTAGCAACCCTATTCCATGCTTACTCTCATCTAGAGGGATTGGTCAGTCCCATAATGTACAATGGATGGATCCTCAGGAGAAAAAGTTTCTTTTTTTCCACATATTGTGCAGATCTGCAAATTGTGTGACAATTGTGTGCAGGGATGCTGCACAACATAAAAGATAGATATCCACTTCACAAGTGACTGAGAAAGTAAACAAAGGTGAGAAAAGGAAGGTAGAAATAGGAAATATATGGAGGAATGAGGAGAAAGGGGAATAGTAGAATGTAGAGAGAGGACAGGATATTAGAATAAAGGAGAAAAAAGAGGCAAGAATGAGGGAAGGAAATGGGAGGGGTAGAGGATGGAGTGATTCATCTTGATGAACAGCATCATAATCTTTATTGGACCAATTAGCACGCTTGCTTACAGCTAGAGACACAGCAAATAAGGCACAGTTTATGGTTTACATACGCATAAATATCTTATTTTGAAATGAATGAGAATCTCATACTTGATTTTGCAAACATGTAAGCTTTCATGACAGTAGGTTTTGTAAGTCCTAAGTACAACCTTTTCCCCTCTTTGAGGGTATTTCAGGCTCATGTTTTCCATATATGCAGTGTCTGTTGAAGACTTTCTTAACAGCTTCTTTTACTTCCTTATTCCTCAGGCTGTAGACGATAGGGTTCAACATTGGGGTTACAACTCCATAAGACAGTACCATGATCTCATCAGATGTCTTTGTGTCCTTTGACTTGGGCTTCATGTACATAAAAAGAGCTGAACCATAGAATAAGATGACCACAGTCAGGTGGGCTGAGCAGGTAGAAAAGGCCTTTTTTCTCCCCTCAACAGAGTTAATTCTCAGTATAGATGAGAGAATGAACACATAGGAGACAAAAATTAACAGTAGTGGAATAACCAATAAAACAATACTTGCCACTGTCATGATAAGCACATTCATGGAGATATCTGAACATATGAGTTTAAGAAGAGCCAGAATCTCACAGGTTATATGATCAATGACATTATTTCCACAGAAAGGCAGCACCATTGTCAGGACTGTTTGTACTAGAGAGTTCAGACAGCCTATGACCCAAGACCACACAGCCATTTGCACATATAACACCTTGTTCATGATGATGGGGTACCTCAGTGGGTTGCAGATGGCTACATACCGGTCATAGGCCATCACAGCCAGGAGGACACACTCAGTAGAGCCCAAGCCAAGTGAAGCAACCATTTGTAGAACACAGCTAATGAAGGAGATGGATTTTCTCTCAGACATTACTATAAAAAGCGTTGGTGGAATTGATGATGATGTGTAGCAGATATCTAAGAATGAAAGGTTTCCAAGGAAGAAGTACATGGGGGTATGGAGGCGAGAATCCAGGATGGTAATGATAATGAGTAGACTATTTCCTAGTAGGATTATCAGATACATGATGAGACAGAGCACAAACAGACAAAGCTGGAGTTCTGGGTACTGGGAAAGCCCCACAAGAAAGAATTCAGTTGTGGCAGAGTAATTTCCTATCTCCATGTGTTCGTGTCACCTGCAGAGTCTAGAAAAGGACATGATTCAGGTGAATTAAAATTTTAGATGTAGATTTCTAACACAAATTTACAATATTGTGTTTGATTCCTATACTCCTTATTACCAAAGAGGAAGGGTATACTAATTTTACTGATGATAAATCGTGAGGCAGTGAGAAATTTTCTGTTTTAGGACCACACAGCAATACAGTCAAAGGTACCAATACAACAATAATTATTCTAGTAGTGTTTAATAAAGTTTAGGAACAGATGACTTTCAAATGTAGATGAATGTTTTGAAATTGAAGTTATTTTTTAATGAAGCTGTTCTCTATTTAAGAGATTATATAGACCAAGCACTATTATCACTTCAGCTGGGTATAACTTTGGTGAGTTGCTTAATATTTTGGAGTCTCATGTATTTCATAGTAAACTTGGAAGAAGGTAAAACTATTTGTTATAATATAATTAGAAGTAGATAAAATATTAGATGCCTAGAACAGTAAATGTTCCTACATGGCACACAGACACACACAAACACACACACACATGCATATATACCTACTCCCCCCACATATATGTATATATAAAGTTTTATTTACTTTATGTGGTATAGTAATGCTACATTATATATATTATATATACATTTTATGAGTTGTAGTATAACATTTAGATCTAAAAGGAAAAAGTAACAGGAAATATTTTTCTTTTAATGGGTAAAAAGTTTAAAATTTGAAACCACAGTTGGCAGACTGAACATTTCTGTTTCCAGTGGATCATCTAACTGCTTCTCCTTCAAAAACCTGTCAAGAGTCTGAGAATCATTAAGGGTTGTTCTAGAAGCTTCCAGAGATTAAGGAAGTTATGCTCAGCATATACAGCTTTTTTTCTGAAGGCCTGGGATTCTCTCTTCTCAAGTATAATACTAATTCCATTTTATGAAGTAGAAAACAGACAAAAGTTTGAGTAAATTTCTTAAGGTCATACAGATAATAAATGCAAAATACATCCCTCTAAACCACTGTTCTCTACTATCCCTTATAGATTTATTACTACACAGATTCTAAGCAAAAGAAAGCAATTACAAAAATCAATCTTCTGCTGTATTACAATAAGACCGTAAACATCACTTACTTGTGATCCTGATCATATGTGATGTGATGGAGAGCTCTAAAGGCTGGATCACTAATTTTTTCTGGTAGCTTTTGGAATGTTGTCTGCTCAGTTTTCTATGTGTAGAAGGTGATTTCACAATTATGAAACATAGCATGATCGAGAATAATGATACCAAAGTCCTTTGCCATTATCAATCATGTATCTAGAAGCCCTAGCCCTGTCTTTATTTTGCAATTCTACAGTTCAGAGTTTTCAATGATCCTTCTTTCATTAACTGCCTTTTCTGGTCCAATTGATCATTCCAGTTGAGAAACTTGTAACATTAGCAGCACATCACTGAAAACTCGTGTGCTCCCTTTGTTTCATGTTCATTGTGTTAGTACAGATAAGCATTGTGTTCAGATGGCTAAATAATTTGTTAAAATGTGGAATATAAAGAGCTGGGTCTCATAATTTTGTTACATTGCTATGGTAAGTATTTATTAGGATCTCATTGTATAATGACAATATTTCTTACTGATCTTATTCTGACCCCACAACTACACTTTTGCTTTGGCTTTTTCCTATATAGAAACTTGAAGACGAGATGAGTACTTACTGTTGAGCTAGACTCAGATGGCAGCTCTCTTAGTACCCTGTCAGGGAGAGGGAGAGGCAAGTCCTTTTTTCTCCATTTCTTTCCATATTCTTTGTCTTCTCAGAAGAGTTCTACCTAGGAGGTGATTTGGGGTAGGGTGTTAAAAAAGAGATGATGTTAGTTTATTGGAAAATATTCCCTTTGTCCTGTACCCCCTTTTCCTGCCTCTGTTTACATTGCTGTGTGGACTTCTTTTCACAAAGGACTCAGTTAAGGTAGCCATTTTTATTTGATTAAGCCCAGCTGCTCTGAAGTAGGAGGAAGGAGAGAAGTGGTGGAAAAGAAACAT